CCCCTGGGGCTGCCGGCCACTTGTACTTTCTTGAAAAATCGCCTCTCCCTTCCCTAAGGCTCCTGGGACAGCAGCGTCTCCCTCCACCTCCCCTCCTGGCAGCTATTAATGTCTACCATTTCCTCTGAAATCTAGTTCCACATCTGAAACGAACAAGCAATCAGAAAAGGAAACCCGGAATGAGAGTGTGTTTTTTTCACTTTCTTACTACTTTTTTGTTATTTTTGTTTGGCGTTTCTCTACCTCCAGCCAGCCTTCTTTTTATGAGAAAAAAAATCCTAAAAAGCTATTTTCATTTTAGGAAAAAAACAGGCGTGGAGGTGGGGGAGTGATGTTGGATGGCGGCCTTCAAAAGTCCCACATAGTCTCACTTGGCAGAGAATGCTAAACACTTCACTCAGAGCAGTCCTCGTGTCTTCTGGGGCCTAGCACATCACAGGACCCTGAAGCAGGCGCTGAGACCTCTGGAGTCGGTGACACAGAAAAGAGCGAGCAGAAATCTATGCGCTAGAAATCTATGCGATAGAAAGGCACGCATACTGACTGAGCGATCTACCAAAGATGTGAACAAATATACTTGGGTACAAATAGAGAATATTCTCTGTAAATGAAATAGGTGTTAGAGGAATAGTTAGGACCAGGATGGACTTAACTGAACTGGGCATGGTTTGACTAATGCCACAATTCACCTGCCATCTAGTATGTAAATTTTCTAAAGTAAGAAAAGGAATAAAATAATTGTATCCCTCACTGTTTAAATTAAGCACATTTGGCTTCAGTTGCTTACAAACGAACAACTTATAACTAATACGCAATGCAAAAACAACACGATAAATAAAAGAGTAAAATAGTTTTTCTGAACCTGAGCTCTTCAGTGAGATATTCCCTAACAGTTCTGAGTATGACTTAAAATCCACGGGCACTATGGGAGTCACCCAAGAGATGGGGGAGTTTGGGAACAGGCAAGCATCCAGGAAAATTCACATTGGTGTCACTTCTGGGAGGCAGTATGAGAACATGATTGAAATTTAGTGAACAGAAACCAAACACACACTACAATTCTGTGTTTGAACAAAAGGCATGTGCAATGAAGGGGCCTATTCAAGCAGAGGAATATACGAAAAGGAGAGTGAGAGGAAAGTGTTCAGACTGCCCACCCAGACACTGTGCAGAGGAGATGGGGCACACGGGCTGAGCTGAGCGAACCTTCTGCCTTCCCTGGTAGAGGCATGCCCGTGATGCATAAGAGCACTTCAGGCTTCCTGCACTGAAAGCCACTTCTCCGGGGGAACAAATGGCCCTGCTCTTGTCCCAAGTTCACCAAGCAACGTCCCGAAGTTGCGGCTCCCTTGTCTGTGGGGGAGAGAATGGACAGGGAAGACCGACAGGAAACCCCAGCCCCGCTGACAGTTGTATTTCTCGGGGTAAATGATTCAGTTGTTGCTCCTGTGGAGACTTAGCTTCCCCCAGTGCCCTACTTAAAGAGAGAGAATGCAGAGACCCACGGGTTTGAGCGTTCAGACCCATGACCAGATTTACGTCTAAGTCTCAATGAACGGGACTCTCTCCTTCAGAGAGCCATCTGCTTTCAGTGTACAAACAAAATCAAGGTTAGATCACGCGAGACTGAGGATGAGACCCCCAATACGGATGCAGCCTTATGGAATCTTGTCAGGGAAGCCAGGTGGCCTTGGCTCCAAGGACTACCTTGAGTATCCCCATTTCATCAGGGTGCCTTTGTAACGCTCAGCACCTGTGGAAACTACACTGGCATGCTGTGGCGCATAGGCCCCCAGAACCTCGGTTACAGCTGCGTACGGGCTCAGTATCCAAAGTAAAACATCTGAAACAGTTTCCATTACTTCCTGAGAAAAGAAAGAAAGTGCATTTACATTTTCCATAACCTGCGATTTTCCCAGCAATAGGCTGGGCATTGTGCATCCAAGCAGACCAATCAAAAGCTCTCTCAAGAAAATTTGAATTTTGATCAGAAATAAATCCCTGAAAATCAGTGGACTGACAGCCTCCTGAAAAGACCGTCAAGTCTCCCTACCTAGACCCCTTTGAGCTGCTCCTAGTCTTCAACATTCCCTGCCTGCACTAAGCAGGTTTCCTTTCTGCTGTTTGCAACCCAACAGCCTTAACAAGACAATTACACACACACACACACACACACACAAAATACAAAAATAATATATCTTTTCATGATAACAATTTTCTATATTTTATTTTTTCACCTGCCACAATCCCATTAGTGTTACCATCTGTCTATGCTTTCTGTTTCTGAATGCTATATAAGTCGCATATCACATGTGACTTAAGCTGTTTTTTTTTTAAAGATTTATTTATTTATTTGAAAGGCAGAGTTACAGAGAGGCAGACACAGAGGTCTTCCATCCGCTGGTTCACTCCCCAAATGGCGGATCTGAAGCCAGGAGCCAGGAGCCAGGAGCCAGGAGCTTCTTCCAGGTCTCCCACGTGGGTGCAGGGGCCCAAGGACTTGGGCCATCTTCCACTGTTTTCCCAGGCCACAGCAGAGATCTGAATCGGAAGTAGAGCAGCCTAGACTTGAACTGGCGCCTGTATGGGATGCCGGCACTGCAGGCAGTGGCTTTACCCACTACACCACAGAGCTGGCCCCAACTTAAACTGTTTTAAACCAAGAGGTTCCTTTCAGCAGCGGCTTCACATAGTCTTTAGCAGACTCAGGAACTTTTAACAGGCTGCCTGAGACTTGCTTAAACATTTTCCTTTTTCACTTTTGAGAATGGATGTCAGGCATGTAACATGTCCTTAAATAAGTGCCAGACTTCTTCTTCGCTGGTGGATGTATGATGAAGAACTAAGCAGCTTTTAAATTCTCCTCAGGTTCCATGGTAGGAATGGTGGGTCAGAGTGACAAAAAGGCGAAATAACTGAATTGTAACGCCCAGGAGACTTAAAAACCTTTGGAGAGGGAGGATTGGAATCCAGAAAGCCCTGACAAACTGAGAGAATGGTGGTCAGGGGGTATACATGGAAAGAATTGGAGGGTAGATCGAAGGGGGAAGTATTTTACAGCAGTGAAGAGAGATGGGAGCATCCTTGAAGTCTGGCTAAGTGTGCTGCAAACAAATCTGTGTTTTCGAAGCACCCATGTCTAGGACACCAAAGCATCTGTCTCTGGCAAGCTTTCCATACTCCTTAGTTTTTCCTAATGTGTGTCTTCACATAGGAACCAAAGTGTAAGTACCTAACAGCCCAAACTGAACGAGAGACAGTTGAATCTGAGCGGTCTGGGAGTCAGGCTTCATGAACAGAATTCATTTGTCTAAAATCAGGAAATAAAGGGCCACGAAAAGAACAGCATACAGGGCTGATGGTAAGAAAAATGAGGTAGATCTGTAGCAGGCTGGGATGTATGATGTGTTTGGGGATGTGGACCATACACATGTGGGCAAGCCCAGAAAGCTGTGCCAGGTTCTTGGGTTCTGAATATTCACCAGCCAGGCACGGAAGGGGCCGCCTCCACACAGCGGGGGGCTCCTCTCAGGGGCCCTCCAGCTGGGGTGTCACATTTCAGTGTTCTGAGAAGGAGGCTGCCTGGAGGGGCTATATTTAGAGTCTGACTTCCCCGCGGGGACAGGTGGATGTCTGGGGACTGACTTCTGCATACTTTGGCGCTGAGTTCTGGGCATTCTTCGGAGGGGCTTGTACAGCCGGCCGGTGCCGTGCAGCTGTAACCAAAGGCACGAGATGAAAAGGTCCCTTTCTCCTGGCCACTGCTTGGGGTCCGGGCCCTCGTCCTCCCACTGGTGAAGAGAAAGTGGCGCGGACGTCAGGGATGTTGTAGGACGCCCGGTCACCCCCAGACCCTCAGCACCGTCTGCACGGAAGTGCTGAGCACTCCCCACCGCCTGGCTGACACAGGGCAGGGAGGGCAGACACTGGGGAGAGTGCCTCCCCCTCCCCCATCCCGTGTCATCATGGAATGAACAACCCCTCTAGGAAGTGTCACTTTCCTCCATGAGATAACAGGAAATCCTCTAATTTCTGGGTGACTTATAGGTCGCATCATGAAGCTGCAGACAAGATTTTAAATAATGTCCTTCGACTGGAAAGCAGAGTGATCTGTGAGGTCAGTAATTTGTGAAATTCTGTGAATATGCAAGTTTCATCTGTAGTTGGGATCTGCACGATGTCTGTCCTTTGAAGCAAGAGTGGAAGCCATCCAGCAGTCTTCTAAGAAGGGCTCTGTCCTCTAATACCTAATTCTATGAGTTGAGCCAGGAGGAGGAAAGGGACTGGGGTTATCTAAAATGGTCACAATTAGAACATCCACTTTCCCACTACACATTCATTTATCTAGCCATCAGTTTATAAATCATGTTGAAAGCATACCGGTTTTGTTTGTAAGAACATGTTTTAAAATTTTAATTTTAATATGCTATTTAAAGCTGCTATTTCCTGTTCAGGCACAAGAAAATATTTTCAATGTGGTACCAATTCACTTCAACAAATCAATGAGGCTTCCTTAGTAGGTGGAAAATCTTTGTAACATTACACATTTCTTAGAAGAAATTTTATTTTTTTCGCAGTGCAAATAGTTTTATTGTATATTCTGATTACAAAATAATGCAGCTAGAATCAACAAAAAGAAAGAACAAAAGAGACCATACATATAACAAAGGTATGAACAAAAATCTCACTGCTACCTAGACTTTCTTTTCTGCTCTCCGACCCTCGAATTTTGGTGCAGAGATTGAATGTGAAAGCTGCAGAAATTAACGAAGGGGGTGCAGGAGTTTCGGAACCCAGAAAAGGATGAGAATTCCCCAAGAAGTGTAAGCGAGGAGTAGACGTAGGAAAAGATGCTGCGATTTGCTGTAATGAGAAAAAGTCGAGTTCAATCACCAGCGAAACACGGCCCCTCCTACTTTCTGGTATTGTCATGGGGGAAAGGGTGGCAGGGCCCAGCGTGCTGGGGGGAGGTACAGGGCTGGCGGGCGCCTGCCGCACTGCTTGTGGGAGTGGAGATTGGGGGCCAGAGCTCACTGGTGACGTGTCCGTCACGTGACCAAGAGCCGCCTCGAGCAGAAGTCCAGCTAGTCGCCTCTGTCTGGGTACCAGCCCCCTATTACTCTGCAGGCGGGTAAAGGGAGAAGGAAAGGAGCCCCGGACCGCGCGGGTAGGTGCGAGGGTGAGCGCTGATGGGAAGTGGGGGTGGGGTGGGGTGGGGTGGGAGAGGGCCCTGAGCGCTGCGGATCCAAGTTCGGGCGGATCGGAGCTGTGTTCCTTTCTCGTGTACTTTCTAAATAGCGTCCCCCACCCCCACCCCACCCCGCGCTCCTTTTTAGTAGAGAGAAGTGGCGGGCTTCAGGTGGGGGTAAGGGCAGTGAATGGCGGTTCCCGAGACTCCTAGGAAAGAAAGGTTCTACAATCGGGGCGTCACGTCCCAGGTACTGATCCGTCCACCAAGCACCGTGTGCCCCTCGGGCCCCTTTGCGTTTGCAGGTGTATAGGTCTGTTGGCCTGTAGATCGCGGCGAGAGAAGGAGCAAACTGCTTCGGTGGGAACCGTGCAGGTCGGTGTGAAGGTGGGCTTAGCTCGGGACTTTGACTGAAGGCGGTGGGGGAAGGGGGACTGGGATCTATGCGGGCCGGGTCCGAGTCGCCCTCTCCTGGCCCCTTCTTTCTCCACACCCCCTCCCGTTTCGGTGCAGGGAAAGGGGTGTGGCGGCCTTTGCTGGGGAAATGGCGGACGACCAGCGCGGCGGGGGAAGCTCGCATTGGGAAAGTCAGTGAGAAATATTTTCAACTCAAGGACCTCAGATTCACAAGAGTGGATATTGGGACTTAAACGGCCTCAGTGCTCATCCATCCACTACACTTTCAGTTCTCCGTTGCTGCCTACCTGTCTTTGCATTTGTCCTTCTGCCAGACTCTGTCCCCATATCGCTGTGGAGGAAACACTGACAACAGAAGGCGAGGACAGAAGGCATTGGCCTGACTTCGGTAGAGGTTGGTGGGAGAAACTGCTCAGGGATCTTTGAGGGTGGAGGTTTGTGAGGTGAAGGGAAAGTCTACCTGAGGGTTCCAATCTCGCTGTCACCCTTAAGGCAGTCCCATCGCTGGGAACCTGAAAAAGAAATTGTGGATCCTGAGGATAGATTGGGGAACGCAGAACCAAAAATAATAATAATAATAATTTCCTAATAATCCACCTTTCCCCCAAAGTAACACTCCACCCAGTCTCTCTGGTGAACCATATAACCAGGCACAGTCCAAAACCCTAATCCTCTTTTTTGCCCATAGATTCTTCTCAAGAGAGCTACAGGAGCCTGGCAGAGGCTGAAGACTGCTACCCTCGTACGTTACACATTCTGGTCTTAAGTCCTCTTCAATCAGGTGGAGCCAAAGCACTCTCCTGTCCTGCCCTGAGGCTGGCACGGACCTGAGCATGGGACGGGCCCGGGAAGTGGGTTGGATGGCCGCAGGATTGATGATTGGGGCTGGTGCCTGCTACTGTGTTTACAAATTGACCATAGGAAGAAATGAGAGTGACAACTCAGAGGAGGAGGAGGAAGAGGAATGGGATGATGATCAGGACCCGGATGAGGAAGAGCCCGAGATTTGGTTTGATTTCACGACTATGGCTCGGCCTTGGAGTGAGGATGGGGAATGGACTGAACCCGGGGCCCCAGGTGGCACTGAGGACAGACCCTCAGGTGGGGGCAAGGCCAGCAGAGCACACCCAACAAAACAACGGCCTTTCCCCTATGAACATAAAAATACCTGGAGTGCTCAGAGCTGTAAACATGTCAGTTGTAGTCTTCGCCACTACACGTGTCCGTTCATTCAGGGACTGACGGAGCGCCAGGATGCTGGCTTTGCCCTTAGCCACGGTATCAATAGTCATTTGGCCAGCCTCTCAAGGGCTGGAAACCTGATACCCACTCCCCAGCGCACCTTCAGGGAGCAGGCTTTGTGTGCCCTGGGAAGCTCCCATGCCAGCATTCAAAGTCAGGGCCAGATTAAGACGTCCATCACCGAAGTGTATCGGGAGACTGTGTCACGTTGCTGTGGTGCATTTCTGCAGCAGGCTGGATTCAGTTTGTTAATAAGTGTGGCGGTTATTAATGACATGCTTGCCAAGTCCATTACAGACTTGCAGTTTCCTTTGATACCAGAGGGAAGTGGACGGGCTGAGGTTCAGGCTTCGAAACTGTGGATGGGTTTGTCTGAAAAGCCAGCGCTGGCGGGAGAATGGCTGGGCTTCTACATGCTGTTTCCATTCATGGCCTTCTTAGCCCGCAGTGCAAACCCAGGGCTGCTCCTGCACACCCCTGCCTATTAAATGTCCGTCTCAGGCACGATGAGACTGGATCTCACTCCCCTCCACCCACTCAGAGCCCACAAGGTTTGCAGCTGTCAGAGAATCTGCAGTGGGTGCTCCAGAGGTGGCAGCCTTAGCTGGTCACCACATCACTTGGGTGAACGCTGCAGTGGCTTCATCGAGGACCACATTCTCATTGGCCAGGTGGGGGCTCCACAGAGCCTGCAGTCACTTCCTGGTTTTGCAGTCTGCAGGCAATGTGCACAGTCGCTTCCTCACTAGCAGCTCTCTGGTGTGCTAAAGGGATCACTTTGGTTGCCAGCTGTGGATAAAGGACATCTGCTTCCAGCATCAGGAGTGCTGCTGCCGCCTAAGCAGAGCCGCTCTGCAGAGACCAGACGCAGTCGTGAGCTTGAGCTGAAAATGCGTTTGTTGCCGCTTGGGTGAATGGGTTTGCCTTGACTCTCTCTTCTACAGGAGCTCGGGGATGGTGAACCTGCCCATCCCAAGAGTACACTGCCCTTCTAGCTACCTTATTGCCCCCAGTCTCCCCCACCCAAGTCTACATCTGTGTATCATCAATAAAGTTGTGTGCTTTCACTGGCAAAAACCAAACAAACAAAAAGCCGTGGCCCTGGTCTTTGAGCTTGCAGTGTGCATGAGGAGAAACAGAAAGATGCAGGACGCCTTGCACCTGCTCCTCTCCACACAGAGCCTTGCCTCGCCTCACTTTCGCTCACCTCTCCTCTCTGGGCTTCTCACGTCTTCTCCCTTTCCCGAGCTTGGGTTCCAGGTGGGTTCCAGCTTTCCTGCTTGTACCATCCACCACCCAAAGTTGCCCATGCACCTGCCAGGTCCCTTGCCTGACCAACACTGGGAAACCCTCCAGCCAGGAATGGGGACCCTGCCTCTCCCCAGGCCCTTGCACCTCGCATGGCTTGCAAGTGGCTAGCAGTGACTGCGGATACCAAGAACCGCCTTCCCCAAGGTTAAACCTGCTGGGCCTTCCTTGGCTGGACCCAGAAATTCCTCCTGGTCCTAACAGCTGTTGATGGGACCACCCGTGTCTTGGGAGCTAGCGCCAGTGTGGCAGGGCCATCATTGTTCCAGGAGGCCTTCCTTGCATGCCACCACTTTCCCCGGGGGGGCCTCTTTGGCCAGTGCCATCTAAGGGACACCTCCTGGCTCTAGGATCCAGGTATCAAGGCTGAGGCTGTTCTCCTGCTTCCCAGCTCGTGGTCCCCAGGGAGTTCACATGCTCTCCCCACGGCCCTGCACACTCCCCAGTTGCCCTTGGTCTGCCCTGCTCCACCTGTCAAGCACTTGATGTTAGAGACCCTGGCACACTCCTGCCTCTGAGAGGACATAACAGTCGTTCTGCCCCATCCCCTGAGCAGCTCTGACCCAGGCCGGCCCGCCTGCAGCCAAGCGACTCCACTGCGCCATCTGGGCTCAAGTCACAGCCCTCCTTCCCACTTGCTAGCACTGCCGTCCTGAAGCACCACTGTGTCTACCGGAGGAAGCCTTGGTCCTAGCCCTCACCCCTTGCCTGCTCGGGTTGGTGCCAGTCACCAGCCCAGGTCCCACTGGATTCTGGGAGCACTGCCACCAGGGCCCTCATCAACACACTGAGATGTTTGGGCACTGGGGAGATCACTGGGTCCCCTCCCCCGCCCCACCCAAAACACAAAGGTGATGGAGAATGAAAACAGCACAGAGCCATCGCTCCCAGAACAGTACAAGCCAGCCTTCCTGGGCTTCCTCGTGGAGGTCAGTGCGAGCCTGCCACAGTCTGAGGGGAGCTGTCCTGCCTGGGAGGCGCCACCCCAGCCTGAGCTGTGTGTGCTTCGTGCACTGCAGGCCCTGGTTTGTTCTTCCCCATCTCACTGCTGCCATGATGGGTGGTGCCACTAGGTACTGCCTGCCCCACCAACTCCCGCAGCTCTCCCCAGCCTGCTTCCTGTCCCTGTGACTCAGGGCTGATGCCCCAGCCCGCCCCCTCCAGGTCAGAGCACACACCACGGTGCAGACATGGAGCCTGCCAGCAGGCTCGCCCCATCTCGAGGCTGCATCTTCAGCAGGGTCCTGCGTGTCACTCTCAAAGCCGTTTCCACCACTATGGCGTCACCCGCAGAGCTGCACAGCCCTTGCCAAGTCATCTCCAGCCTTAGCTCCACAGCTGGCAGGTGGGGTGGGCACTGGCTCCAGTCTCTCTCCCAGGAACCCCTGCTGGGTGTCAGAGGCAGGTGGTCACCAGCCCTGGCTCCAGCACAGCCCGGTGGAGGGCAGCCCCTGCCCGTCCCTGTCCAGGACACATGCTCTGTGCGTGTGCGTGTGCGTGTGCGTGTGCATGTGTGTGTGTGCCTGTCTTCCGTCTGTCTGCTCGCACTGTACTCTTCTCTGCACACTAAGCTCGCCGCCTCCTTTCTACCCTGCAGGCTGCTTTCTGCTCACAGCCTCTGCTCTAGTCCCGCCTTAGACACACCCTCCCCCCTCCCTGATACACAGAGTCTGCTGGACAGCTTCCCGAGCCTTCTGCGACTTCCTTAGAACTGTGACGTCAGTGACCTACCTGGGCTTTACTCTTGGCCAGCTGCCAGCCCAGGATGGGACCGGACTTCTGCTCACGGGGGGATAAGCAAGGAGCCTGCACCGCTGGTCGAGCGCCCCATTCTCAGGCTACTGTGGGGCGCATGCTGAGATGCGCAGGCACTGTGCCCAGCATGCCACCCTCCGTGGCTTCTTGTGTTTAAGACCCTTCTGTGGCTCAGCCCTTTCCCCCAGGACCCTCTGTCTGACTTGGGGGAGCCTCAGTTCACTGGCTGGCCTAAGGCAGGTGGCGCAGGGCCCGTGGGGAGGGCCACACGGGTGCCTGTGAGCAGCCTTCAGTGCTAGATAGCTTCTTGGGGCGTCTTCCAGCCCACAGGGAGCTCAGCAGCCCTCACTCGGCTGACTTCAGCACCATTAGAGATTTGTACTGTTCTCTTGTGTGTGTAGGACAAAGCCAAGTTGCGGGATAATGTGTTTTGTATATTATTAGAAGTATTTTATACACATTTTGTAGCATCATTTGTCAGCATATGTGATCATACATTTCCTAAGATAGTGCAGAATATTTCTTGAAAGATGCACAAAGAAAAGCATAGCTTTGTCCCCCCCGCCGGCAGGTTTATTGGATTTGCACAGGAAAGGTAATAAAAGCATGAATTATCTCTTTCTGTCCTTTGTGCCTCTTTCATTTTGTACTCATGTATGCATTTCCCATTCACAAATAAATTTATTAAGAAACAATTCCTATTGTTTTCTATAAAAGCTATTGATACAGCATTGTCATCCTCTTTTGGTGAACTCACTTATTAACTGCATTATTTTACCTCTTTTTTTCTCTCTGACTTAAGTAGACAGAGTTAGCAAATTATAACAGTTTACCTCTTCCTATTCAGTAATTCATAGATCACTTCTTTTACTTATCTCATTGCAGTGTCGAGGACCTCCAGCACACCAGTACTGAGGACACACTGTGTATTTGTCTTGGTTCTGATTTGAATGGTCGATGTTTCACTGTAAGGTTGAGGTTTGCTGGAGGTTTCCAAATAAATAATGTCATATATTTGTATAATAGAATTTATAAAGCCACAAAAATGAGTTAACTATATCAACTACACAATTCTCAGAGCCCTAATGTAGAGTAAAATAATTAGTTTACAGAAAGATAAGGCATAATGCCATTTATATAATTTTGAACAGGTGAAACACTATTGCATATTATTTGGATACATATATTTGTAGCAAAATAAAAATGGCACTGAAAGTTGTGCATTAATTTTGCAGAATCAATTGCCTCAGGGGAGGGACTTGAGCAAAATATGATATGAACAAGACATGTCGCTTAATTTTATCTATTAAGAAAAATATTATAAACAAATATAGCAAAGTTGCAATGTTTGTTAATTATGGGTGATGTATACATTGATTATAATTATTTGTCTGTATTATGTGTTTGTAACTAAAGACATGTTCTGTGCCCAATACATTCAACAAAAAACATCTTCACCTAGCCTCACCCTCAAGAAATTTTAGAATATTAAAATTAAAATTAAAATTAAAATTAAAAGGAGACCTTAAAAATTTTCCAGAGGAGGAAATCACTTGCAAACCATATTGGTATCTGATTTTTTATTCATAATATTTTATGCTAAATGTCACTGTATAGATGCTGAAATCCTTAGAGAACATGTTTTGCTCTTGAGTTATATCTCCAAACATACAATCAAGCAGTGGTGTGATGACAATAAAGATGTTTTCAGGACTTAAGGTACGCATATATTTTACCTTGTTCTTTTTTTCTTAAAGATTCATTTACTTATTTGAAAGTCAGAGTTACACAGAGAGAAAAGGAGAGGCAGAGAGAGAGAAAGAGAGAGAGACAGAGAGAGGTCTTCCATCCGATGGTTCACTCCCCAATTGGCCGCAATGGCCAGAGCTGCACCAATCCGAAGCCAGGAGCCAGGAGCTTCTTCCAGGTCTCCCACGTGGGTGCAGGGGCCCAAGAAATTGGGCCATCTTCCACTGCTTTCCCAGGCCACAGCAGAGAGCTGGATCCGAAGAGGAGCAGCTAGGACTTGAACCGGCGTCCATACGGGATGCTAGCAGGTGGCAGCTTTACCTTGCTCTTTGGAAGTTATTGAAGCATGTACTCTAACACAATGAGTTAGCACGCAGTTCGAAGGTAAATCTGAAATCCAAGAAATAGTGACCCCAACTCGGGAAAGCAATCAAGATTACTTTGATGATGAAGATGGCCAAACAGCAGACTCTGAGCAGACCAAAGTGGAGCAGGATGCCAGATGATTTAGTGTAGGGAGTGAACTCAGCAACAAAAGGGGACTTGATACATTGAATTGAGAGGTCACAGAAACCGGAAAGTGTGATAAAGGCAAATAAGGAAGGAAAAATTAACCGAAGAACCTCTAAGAAAATACTATAGTAATGGCCCTCAATGAACCATGCCTCCTGGTATCCATACCATTGTGTTGTCCCATTCCAGCCTGACTCAGGCAGTTTAAACGCAGCAAACAAACATGACCAGAGAAGAGACCTGAGCTGGCACTTTTTCTGCTCAGGCTGATCTATGGAGGATGAGACCAGGTAGAACGAAAATGAACTGTTCCAACTGAGGACCTCTAGACAGGGTTGCCAGGTCAAATATAGGACTCATTTATATTTGAATTTCAGCTGAATATAAAACAAAATTTTAGTGCATATAGTCCCCAATATGGCATGAGACATAACTTATACTTAAAAAACCGAATGGTTTAGTGAATTCATATTTAACTGGGCATCCTGTAATTTCCTTTTACTGTGCATGGTAACCCTAACTACAGGAAGAATCAGTCCCCGGCTGATCTGCCAGCTGATTGTAGCTACATAAGGGACCTCAGGCAAGAATAGCAGAAAAACCGACCATGTAAGCCTACTACAAATTGCTGATCCACAAAACAACAGGCAAATAAGATGGCTTTTTTTAAGCTGCTAAGTTTTGGAATGCTTTTTTGTGCAGCAATAGACAATAGACAAAACAAAAATGCATACTTGTTCCAAAAGTTCAGTAAATTAAGATACAGA